AAGCCAATCTTTGTGTTTGTGTGTGAATGCGCACATAAACTGCACTTCAGAGACAGAGACGGGGCGCTTTTCAATTTCACACTGAAACTAGCACGCCCCAGTAAATGGTTTTTGTGCGTCTTGAGAGATATTTTAAATTTGCTAATGGTTTCTGAGTCAGATTGACTTCCAGTTATTTAAACTTACTGATGGACTAAGTAGAGAAAGGCAACTTTCCAAACTGATCAAAGTAAAAGGAAGAAAGGAAAAAAGACACTTTAAAAGACGGGAACATTTTTTACAGTAATTTACCGTCATTTGTGAATACAGTTGAAAACTGTAAATGTTGGTGCTTTGTTACACTTTTTTTTCTTCTTTTTTTTGATTGAAGTCCGACTCAACTCGCAAAATCAGGATGGATCACGTCCCACTACCTCATTAACCTCACAGTCAACTTAGTGAAGCAGGCCTTAAATACTGCTGATCAGACTTTGGACAGTTCCATGCTGCCGTGTGTAAAGTCTCAGTTCTGTAACATTTGAATTCAAGGCATCAAATACATTGTGAAAAAAAATTCTAAATTTTTCAATTTCAAATTTTATGATTTTGCAAAAAATTCCTCCTCAAAAAACATGCAGAGTCGACATCAAGTGATGATGAGCAGGTCCTGATGTTTCTAAGCAAGCAAAGGAAAAAACTGAGATTCTGGGTTCATCCAGTTATCAGGAGAAGGCAGCAGCAGGGAGAATTTCATGGTTCAATCCAGGAGTTGAAGCTGTATCACGGCCGCTTTTGTACATATTTCGGGATGTCAGCAGAGCATGGCACAGGTTTTCATGACCTCCCTTTGGTGTAAAGTGTAGGTAACGCAGTACTTTTTGTCTATATAGTGTGCTTGGTTTCCAGGTTTATGTGGCTGACAACAGTGTTAAAGTTCAGCAACATGACAGACAATCCTGAAATGATTAATCACCTGCAGCCAGCGTTCATCCTCAGGATAGCTGTCACAGTAGCATCCATGCATGCAAAGGGGCCTGGAGTCACATACATAAACTACAAAGCAGAAATGGGAACGTGGAGAAAAGCCTGCAGCTCCAACACTTGGTGAGTCTAAATGTACACCAGGTGTGAATATGAGCGTCTGTCTCTCTGTTAGTCCTGACAACCTGTCCAGGGTGTACCCCCCTCCCACGCTCCAACCACCATGACTCTGAACTGGATAAGGAAATGGATATTATTAAAGAAAGAACACTAAAATAGCGAGATAGTGACAGCCAAACAGGTGGCAGCATTATACTGTAAGGTAAAGTTAGTAGATCGTTTCCGTAGTTACGTTGTCCTATCATCCTGTGTTAGACTGCCAATAACTGACACACTGGGGCAGGTCCGGGGAGGGTTTAATTGGCACTGCGCACCCTCCATAAGGCAGACTCTCCACACAGCAGGAGCAAGAGGAGGCGCACACCTGGGAGTTTAATTTGTTCCATGATGATGAGCCTGATTCACAGACACGGTTGAACAATTTAGCGTGCCAAAATTAGTAATGATCAATGGCGGGATATCATATAGACATAAAATTTGCCTTTTTGCTCCTTTATACCTGTTTTTTTCTGTAAGCTTATAGTTCTGCTGACCTGTTCGGTCACCAGGAGTGGAGCCTGCAGCTTAAGATGACTCAACACAGAGATGCTTGACCCCTCTCTCCTCAGACACAGCCGAGTCTTTCACCAACAAATACAAACACCTGGTAGAAAAACAGTTGATGAGAGGAGATAAACCAGTGTCTCTGCACGCACACGGTTACATTAAGTTCTAACTGAAAGTCAAATGAAGAGATGGAGACACTCTTTCTCTGATTTTACTTGGAGTTATATGCAGAGATACTGACATGAGGTAGATTGCTTTTAA